AACGGGATGGGAGCAGCGGCATCGGCGTCGACTGCAGACATGCAGAGCGTTCCTAGTAACAGCATCGTGCACATGGAGACCGATGACATGAACTGCACTAGCATAAACTTTGAAAAGTACAATCCGGTGTTAAACGCGAGCAATCACAGGCAGCAGCTCCATCAGGTGCCTCCGCCTTGCCCGCCCGTAGCAGCCCCGGGCAGCACGCCTTTTAATTCGCAGTCTAACTTAGCTGATCCAGCAGTTTACAGTTTTATAGACCAAGAAGTTTTAAGTGAACCGCGACTACCTGCCAACCCGATCCCAAACCATCCGACTAGCGTTGCAGACAACCAGTTCTATGACACCAACGGTGTCCACACTGATGAGTTCTATCCGTCTTTCCCATTTGATAACATGAACATATTACAAAACTATAACCATTGAGCCGGCAGCGGGTACGTAGACCTGTGTGAGAGGAGTAACTTACCCTTCTGGAGTCCCTGCTTTCTCTTTCAGAACGTTCCTATGCAAGTTTCAGGATAGAACTTACGGTTATGTGTCACAGCCTAAAGACTGGTGCCCCTAAAGGAGAGAGGTGGGAGTTGGGCTTGGGGTTCTCTACCTTAAAAGTAGTACCTTGTATACATTTTTTTACGCTATTGGAAAAGGGAACTCTCAACACCTAAGTTTTCCTTACCATCGGGGACTGTGAAAGCTGGCATCTTCAGAAGGGTTAAAATTTCAGATACTTCACAGGGTTAAAATTGTTTGGAAAAGAACCATTTTTGCTGTGGAAATTACATTTAAATTTTGATAGGATGGAAATTGGGGAAAAAACAACCAAAACCCATCTGCACATGGGCACTCTAGTTCAGACTCGCCTAAAGATGTTAAAAGTTCTGCTCCACTTACTTGAAAGGTTTAGATTTCTTACCCTCTGTCTTATAAAATATTCTTCTCCTAACACAAGATCAAGCATTGATTTTTCACATTTTCACCACACTCCATTTGCTTTGAAAGCAAATTTACTCTAAAATTTTTTTAATGACTATGTCATTGTTAGATATATTTTAAAAGACCGGAAGGTTTGAGTTTGTGTTTTGTTTTTTTTTTTTAAATAGTCCAGCTCTGTTGTAAATGAATCACTGCACAAAAGAAGTAAACAGAAAGGAAGGACTTCTCTGCACTTCATCCAAAGTGCACTATTTTAAACAACAAACCCCTGTTGCTTTAGGAATGGAGCACGCTGTTATTTCTCTGGAAGTTGTTTTTGTGTGTGTGTAGCTGCGATACGCACGTTATTTTGAATGGCAGAAAGGTGTCGAGCCGACGCACCTTACTTTTTCCTCAGGTATCCCGGCAGTTTCCTGCTATGCAAGTGACTGCTTAAGAGAAGGCTCTGATCCTGCCTCCCCTCCCGAGAAAGCTTTGGGGCAAACCCGGAGGCCACCTTGATGCAGCCTTGTCTAGATGCTTGTAATTAACGACTTACGGCCATGCCAGTCAGTACTAATTAGAAACACTCCTCTATACTCTGTATCAGAAACCTGAACTTCCTCCCTTCCACTTACTTCCCGGTCTTTATTCTTAGCCCAAGCTGCGAGATGTTTCGTGACAACTCGCGTGGATGTAACTGGCTAGGTAAGACACTCTACTCTGCATTATAGGGCTCTGCTATTTTATTATTATTATTATTATTAATTTTTAAGAAGCAACACAGCAAGAAATAGATGAGTATTTCTTAAGTTATACAGCTGTTTTGTATGGCAGATAAGGCTTAAGAATGTAATTGTTACTGTTCGCGAACCATGGAAAGAAGCGATAGAAAAAGCAGACTCGGGTATGTAAAAAAAAAAACCCCCCAAAACACAACCCCAAAGAAAAAGCCACTTGAGAAGTACTGTCGTACACAAGGCGGAAAGGAACTCCAAACCCCCTCTGTGGTTTATAGGAAAGCGAGGAGTCCTTAACGGCAGTAATTCATCGCGTTCAAAGCAGTGCAGCGCTGCTGCTGTAATGCATCACACCAGTTACGCAGCTATGACAGAATACGCTCCTTGAACAACGCCTAGAACAAAGTCTGGCAAACTGCTTCCCCTCACTCTGGGTGCACAACGCGATGAATTGCCTCTCCATGTTTTCAAGCAGTTTCTCCTCACGTCTGCGTAACACCTACCTTTTTCCAGAGCTCCTCTGCAGTCTGAAGTAACAGAAAGACCACAGAAATACAAAGCTTGAAATGTGTTGTTTATTCAGTTCTTTTTTTTTGACGTTCTCAATTGTAAGTTTATTAAATGTAAACATTTTACTTCATAGAAAGCTCTTGATAGTACAATTTGTTTTTACTGTATAATTAAATATTTTCAAAGTTCTCTTTTCCTTTGTAAACGAGTTGGTTTTGTAATTAAAAAACCCTGGTTATACTAAGAACTCCTCAGCTTCTGCAACCTTCTCGGCTTCATGACATCCCTCACGGCAGGAAAGCCAGAGAAATGGGAGAAGGTAGGTTAGGGGTTGCTTATCCTGGGGCTTTTTAGAGTATTTTCCGCTGACAGTTTTTCAGTATTTTTCACATAATGTGCTAGAAAATATCTACCTCTTTCACACATGCCTCATGAACGAGTAAATCTTACTCTGACAAAACATGTTGTTTGAATATTTACAAGTAGGTATTTCACTTTTAAAAATAAGATGAAGGCCAGAGTACAGCGCTAATATTGCTGCAGTCTTCATTACAGATGATGATAGTTCAAAGTGTTTACCTTGTATTAGAAACCGCAGACTTTAAACAAAGCTAAAAAACCCCAGATTACATCTCTCATTTTTGTATTTTCACATGATCACTGAACAATAACTATCTCGAGACATATCTGCATCATCAGCTTCCCCCCCCCCCCCACACGTTCCCCCCCCCCCCATTCGGATACTTCACATTTATCATAAAAAGCAGCAATTTGGGAACTTTTGGTGGAACTCTCTACCTTGTACGGAGACGAGATTCGACTCGGCCCATTTAGTGTAGTTTTTATAGCCTCGCTTAGCTGCACTTTGATTCTTGACACGATCGCCGTGTCACCACGACAGCGTACGGTATGTTGCGGAAAGAGCTGCAGCTGGGGGTATGAGGGTCCGTGCACTATGGCAGGAGCAGGATCCCTTTCTGCTTCTCCCTTGCTGGCCCCGTTGCCCCCCAGGACAGCTCCTCTAATGTGTGTCACGGCCGTGGCGCGCTCATGTTTACATTTTTTTTCCCCTTGTAGTTTATGGAATTTATAAATCGTGATGTAGCTCACTTTGAGTTTCAAGAAATCACATAGATAACGAGACTGAAATTCTCTTTTTGTTTGTTTTCTGAATTCAGTTTCTTTGTTTTCCATCATTCATGACACTTCCTGTCTGGGTACAGATGATTATCTGAGACAACTACTCCTGGAATCTGTTGCTCATAACAGCTTTAAGATTAAAAACATATCGCTGTCTGAACCCCGTTCCTATTATTTTTGTGTTAGGACCTTCTGAGCTACTGCTGTACTTAAGTTACAGTGGACTAGGAAAACAAATGACGCGAGGCAAGTTTTGACAGCCCATCGCAGGCAGAGCGTATAATCTTAGGACTAGTTTTTCAAGATGGGTTTTTAGGACCTCCTTGCAAGTGTACACATTCCTGCCTTTTCGAGCCTTCAGCTAAAGTTAGCGTGCAGCTGTTGTATTAAGAGGTCCTGGCACCGCTGAATTGAAGGTAAGACATCTCGGTAATCCTCCCTCTCCCCAAACGGCTTTGTCTTGGCAAATATTACCCTCTTTATTTCAGAAATAACGTTAATTACTGACGAGCCCTTACATTTGAAACCTTAATTTCCTGTCGATGCTTTAGTTCTCCTTCAGGTAAGCAGAACCATCTTCCTAATGGATTAACACGATCCAGGCGTAAAAGGGGCTTTTCCTAAAGGTGTAGGCAGTGGGACCTTGCTAATGAACATAAAAATAATCCTGCTTTGTGTGAAACATTTAAAATAACACAAGCAAAGGAGAAAAACCCTTAGGTCGTCCCTATTCCAGGCAAGTTCCTAGACAACGGTCAACTCTTCCAGGCATCCACCCAAGGCTGGATACTAGGAAGAAAAAAAAAAAAACCAAAAAACTATGCTGCAAGCCAAAGCTTTTTATCTCTGACTTGCTCTCTCAGTATCAATATTCTTCAGTACATCTTCTATTTCCCTGTACTTTGGGGTTCTTGGTATTCCTATTTTTTTCTTTAGATTTCCATTGTGCACCGCTGCCAGGAGATCTCAATCTTTTTATATATGGTAACTCAACTGGGGAAATCCTGTGCCCAAAGAGAACCGTAACCGGGCCAGAGAGCTTTTGAGGCCTCGAGCACCTCAACTGTTGTTTCTAGGAAGGATTGCAGATGTTTTTAAATGAGGAAAAATTTGGTTTTAAGTGCAAAGTTTTCCTCTGAAAACAAAAACGCAGTCAGCAGAGAGCTGCCTGGTGCCAGGTGGTACCCGGCTGGTTTCAGAGTCTCCCTGGCTTTTGGGAAATACGCCTGTGTGAATAGTGCTCAGGAAAAGGGGGGGGCTGGTGCCCAGGTAACTGCAGCATCATATATAAAAAGAGTTTAAAAAAATCTGGCTTGAGGGAAGAGTTATTTTTAATTAAAACATTTTAAACTACTGCAGAAAGCATATTTGATGTACTTGCTCAGTACACCATTTGAACATGTTATGCCGTTTATCTTTTGCTGAATTGTTGTTTTAAAAAGACTTATTATCAATACACTAGCTTACCAAAATCTTTTTACGCACAGAAGAAATGAAAATAAGGCTAAAGCTGGAATGAACGCTACCTGTTCCAGAGCGTTTTAAAGTTGATTCAAAGTACCAGTATCCTTTGGCAGATCAACATGATCCAACTGTTCAACAGAAATACTTTGCAACCAAGCCCTAAGACGGTACGGTGTTCAGTAACCAGCTGCTGACAGAAGAGCCGCTTCTTCCTCGTCCCACCTTGGAAAGTTAATTATCCAGGGCTGGAGGCCAGTCAATGTCAACAGACTAGAAGAGCGGGGGGGAAAAAAAAAGGCAAAATCAGCAGACTTGATATTTTAAGTATCTAAAGAGACCTTGTGGTAGAACTCTCTGCTTGTCAGCTGTAGGCTTCTAGTGGAAAGAAACAGAGTGAAGGACACTAAGATAAAAGACCTGGGACAAGACAAGCAGGAGCCAGTGGCACGAAGCAGCCACCTCCTTCTAATTGTCTCCATGAGCAAGAGCTCTCTGGAAGCTTGGTTTTCTTCATAAAGTGGAATCACAACTCCTTGTACTGCTGCTTCCAGGAATCATTTCATGTTGGGCTGCATTTGCAGAGCGTCAGCAACTATTAATTAAAAATGGGAACTCTCTCTGTTGTTATGATGTGAGAACAAACAACTTGTTGATTGATGCCACAGAAATATTCAGGTATTGGGCAATGCAGGCAAAGCTCAAGTAGAAAACCATCACCTGTCCCCAAATCCGCCTCCTGAGCAAGGAAAACTAGACTAAAAGAATAAGCTGTCAAGCGTTATGCGCAAGAATTATCTAGGCAACATCGTTAACAGTCATCCTGATTGTTAGTCAAAAGGGACAAAACATGCCTGACACTTTATTAGAAGCAAACGTCGTAATTTATTCCTATTGGATTATGTCTGTCTTCCCTGGCTTCCCTGAGGCCACATCTCCAGTTCCCTTTGGGCATAAACTTGTTGCTTGCCCTCTTCCAAAAGCAGCGCGCCCTACACTACCGAGGTATCACCGTTTGCAATCACAACACCGGGATCGCCGCGCAGCACGTTAAGCGCCTCGGCTTCAAAACTGCCGGCATTAATCATACCTACTCCTCGCCTAATCTACAACTTCATCAAAGGATTAGGCTCTTAGGCTGAGCTAAAATGCATTATTAGCAAGATGACTAATTATTTTCAAGTCCCTAGACATCTTTCACGGTTATGTCCAATAACTGTAGCGACACCTATCCATATGACAGCGATGCTTATCAGCCTGAGCCCCAAGTCAGGCGTTCCTGTTTTCAGAGGTAACCCAAGTGCCCTCCGCCAGCTCGCTTTCTGTATTCCCCCACAAAAGATATGCAAAAAACTGCAAGTCCATTCTGCAAGATGTAACACGTGGGCGGCTTTTCCAGAAATACACGAGAACAAGCATGCCGACTGCTGCCTACCTGAAATGAACCCCCACATTTTAAGTAAACCTTGCCATACCACTAGGTTAAATATTAAATCCATATCTCTACATATGTTCTCTTAACAAAAACAAATTTTATTTTAAAATCTGACTCCAGCAAATGAACAGATATAATTTCTTGCTGTGTTTGAACCAGCACTGAAAGAGGAAGTCAAGCCTCTCTTATTTTTCATCCAACCCCATATGAAAAGAAACGTGGTGGTGCATGTAACATTGCCAGTGGGGGCTAATAATAATTGTCATCAATTCCTGGTACGTCCTCCCATCCCTCCTCGGCATGAATTCAGCAGAGGGAGCCTGTCACATGTGGGAGCGTGGTACAAACCACAATTTTTGCATCAACATCAATTTTTCTATTAACTGTGGTAAGGAATGTTGATTTGGTTAGAGCAATTCCGCTGAAACCCTCTCACAAATGCAACCACGTTACTAATTTCCAGGAACGGTAAATAGCAGAGCACTTACTTCCACATCCAACTCCAGAATTCAGCAGGGAGCCAACATTGGGCTTTGTTCTTCCAAAGTCTCCATGCACAAATTCTTTAATGTAGCTAGAAATACCGACTAAGGAAAGGTGTATTTTACCGCAAAGAAATCAAAAGAAAAAAAAAAAAGAGTATGGTGAAAGACACTCAAAGCAAAACATAGTGTCTTTTTCCACTCCTAAGCCAATTTGCAGTCAATGTTCTGTTAAGCCCAAACCCATCTTTAAAAGATTTCCTAATTCTTGGCTTCTGACTCTAATGCCAAAAACTGCACAATTAACCTGGTTTTTTTCTGTTTTGTCCCAAAGCGAGTGGTGACTTTATGACAAAATTGTTACCTTGTAAGTAGCAGCAATCTACAGTCTGTATTGCAGTGCACTAACTATTGTGGAAAAGCTCATTTTCTAAGGTGAAAAGTTTTCAGTTAAATTAGAAAAAGCTTAAGTCTATGTTTAACCAGTACATTTTTATAGCTATCGTATACTTTAAAAGTATCACAGTGGTCATCATAAAAACACACACAGGCGCAGCATTTTTGTATGAAAGCCTGAATGTAAAATTCTGACATAATAGCAAACATTATGCAGCAACATATGACTGCTGAAGAGCAGGGATTTAGAAACACCGCAGCAAGAAAAGCAGGAAACTTTCCATTACCCAAACGCCTCTAATCAGCAAGCTGTTTTGTAAATGTGTTGCGTAATGGCATCTAAGGATACGTTCCTGCCTGAGTCTTCAGATGCAGGCGAAAATGATGCTCATCTATGTACTCTGATTTCATGGTGTGAATGATCCGACACCTTACAGCTAGAGGACGCCTGTGAAGAACCCGGAGAGGTGTCTTCTGATCGAGTTTTAATTCCTGTTACAAGAGGTAACACAATAAATGAGGAAGGAAACACTGCACAGATTGTAAGAGTCATAAGTATTGTTAACCAATCACATCTTTTTTTGTGTTGTATTATGGAAGTTGAATAATCTTCTTGAGGCAAGACTAATTTTTTCCATGTTTATCAAAGGAAAAAAGGACAGCCATCTCAAAGGCTAAATGAGAAGGCCTCATATGAACACAAACTAATGGAATCACAAATACAGAGGAATAACCTTGAAATCTCCATAGTCCTTTTGCTGGAATGACTCCAGGATTTAGAAGCTCACTGAGAGCCTCAGGGCAATCAAAAAGAAAGGAGAGAAAAAAAAAAAAAAAAGAATCCCACCCACAAAATGCTTTGTCTAAACTACAGACAACCCCCTAGGAAAAAAAAAAAAAACCCCAAAACCGAAATGAGATTAGATCTCCTAACAGTGTTTGAAAAAGTTCACTCCCCACCCCCTTTCCCAAATGAGATGCAGCAACTTTTCAGGAAGTGAGTGGGCATTGTAAAAAAAAACCCCAACTTCACAACAGTTGTCTCCCTGAACTGAAATTGCTCAAGCCCTTGCTTTGAGAAGGATTTCACACAGCCAAGACCCATAAGAAATGGTGCAACACAACACAAACTAACACACTTCATCAGCAGTATCTCCCCAACATCTGGAGAAAGTTCTCGTTAACACAGCATGGTTGTTACACCGAGCACTTCCTAAGGCCTCTCTGCATTATCTTCCACAGACATTTCAAACTCCTCATTGCTGCAGCTGTGGAGGAATGGCTTTAGAGCCTGCAGAACAAAAGACCTTCTCCGCTCCTTTCATTTACGCAAAGCACTACCTAAGGTAAAGAAAGGGGTGCGAGTGCCAGATTTCCTCCTCTCCCATTCACTACCTTTTATTATTTGGTCTACTGGAAGGTCGGCATCACACAAGAACTTGTCATCTTGGCTACACTGCCAGGATGACAAGGGTTAAGTAAGGAAGGGTGAGAAAGGGGGCAGGTATGAAAGTCCCTATAGCAAGAGGAACCCGGATCAAAAAAAACCCAAACCAACCCGCAGAGAAAGAGATATCTCCGTGGCTACATGTATATAAACTCTCCCCTAGGGCACCAGGACAGGTACTATATACAATAGCAAAGAAAGCTACAGATACCTTGATATCATCTAGAAATGCAATATCTTCTTTCTGTATTGCTCTGTCTGTCCATATTAAGGCACTGTAGGTCTTTGTCTTTTCCTCTTCACCTTCCTTCATACGACCAATTGCCTCTCTAAACAAAAGAAATTAATGACATAACATAAGCATCA